TTTTTCCTTACCTATTCTGAAAAATTGATTGTAATAACGTGACTAACTTTGATTGCCCACAAACTTAGTGCAACACGTAATTATAATTGAGTAGTTGAGGATAGCCATGCGGTTAGCGTTGTCTAACCACACATCTGCATGTGATGGCATCAAATTAGGCCATTCTCTATTATGGCATTATGGCAGTTGAAACTGTGGTAAGAACAATAGGTCCTCGTGGTTTTACACTTATTATCTACAGTAGAATATTGTTGTTTAATGTCCAATCTAGTCCTGCTTACGATTTTTTTTCACAATTGCTTTGCTCTAAGTTCTGACTGCCTTTCTCTGAGTTATTTAATTTTAATGGTGACTTCTTGAAATCCTTAGCAGTTTTTTATCGAAACAAAATCATTATTAAGTTACAGTTATAAGTAAGTAATCATTAAATATCTCTGTGCACGTGAAGTAAATGAGTCTCATCCTTATGTCCCGAATAGGCAAGCAATGGTCAGCGGCCACTTTTCGATAAAGTGTCTGTAATATAGGTGGAACTATGGTCATAAACAGAACTGTATTTCATGGAAACGAGCAGACGGATGATCTAATATTAAGTGATCAGTGACCATTGACATCTGCAACACCATAGAAGTCACGTTACTGGTCTTTTAGGAAAGATTATGTTCGTTACTTACAGGTTAGAAGATCATATTAACTAGGATTTCTGCCATCGATATTCAAAAATATGTAAAACAAAGGGCCTTTAATATTACACTACATGTGGCAGATAGTTAGCTCAAATCACTTTCTATGTTCATCCAGTAGATAGTGGCTATTCAGAAACTATAAAATAGCGGCCCTTAGTATTTTGTTCGAATGAGAAATCAGTACTGATGATGATGCTTTGCTTTACAGTTGCGCTTAAAACGAAAAGTGCTCGTCTACTTAGAGTTAGATACTGTAAAAATAAAATAAAATTCTAAAATACATATGTACAATCGAAGTTAAGAACATGGCTATTATCGATATTCCAACATACATATGTTATTTCACGAGACTAGTTCGAAAATCGTACAATAAAATGAAAGTTTCCACTAACTTCGGGCTAGGAGATTTAGCATCGATATTTTCGTATGCACGAACGAACAGTGCAGCGTATTCGATAGTTCGGTTCATGTTTCTGCCGTGAAATTTTACATATTGACGCTGTAAAGTTCGTTAGTAACGTGTAGTTTGTACGAGCATGTAGTTTTTGTAAAGTTAGACTTATTCTGACAGTGATAGGTGCTGAAGGACCATTTTCGTCTAACGGATTTATTAATCCACCGTTATCGTAGCCAGGAAATTTACATTTTCGCTTCTCATATTACAAATGGATAAAGTTCAAAACCTGACAATTACTAAATGCAATTTTTGTCATTGTGTTTTTGAGAAATATTTTTGTGCTTTATTGTTTAAACACCGCAGCTAAACGGCAAAGGAAATAATAGTTACGAAACCCAAACCTATGATTCTAAATTTGAAATCGCCAATCTGCCTTTAATTTGTGTTGTGTACCCTCTTATTTGTCAATTAATTTTTATCTGTTATTGTTTGTGCTGAAAAAATGTGTTATCTATCTATCTATCAAGCAATGTGAACAATGATCAAAACACGTGAGAAGAGTATTTATAGGCTGATGATGTGATTTTATTTATTCTGGCAATTCCTAATATAATAAAAAATGCTTTATTACCTCTCATGAATTTCATTAGAAAAATACTGGATAGTATAGCCAAATGTGTAGGTAGCTAGAAAAGAGCGGGTAGGTAGCTAGAAAAAACCATTAAATGATTTCTCTAGCCCAGGCCTCCAGCCTGAGATTAGAGAGGGACTGTCAGACTCTTACTGACTAAAAAACATCCCGTTCTTTCTTCTGCTTTATGCCAAGACCGCGGTACGTTATTGCGCTTGCAACTTCACCTGCATACGGTAGTTTCCAACTAGTCAAATTCAATACTTTTATTCAATTGTCAAAAACGATACTTTTCTATGAAATTCGTATGAAATACTGAGTTATGACATCATAGTATTTTTACGTCGAATAGATTACTTATTTCTTAAAAATTAGCTAAAAAATATCTAAAATTTAGTGCATCGATCGATCGATGAATGTAAGTATAGATATTTTTCAATATTTTATTGTATTCAAACGTCGAATTAATTTATTTTTGACCCTGGAATCTACCCAATTGTCATAGTATAAAGTCACGCACTTGATAAAGGCACGTCGACATTTTTTTTATTTGTTTAAAATAAAAATACCACAGACCTTTTGATGATATTTCCTTCGTAAAGTCAAATATTTTCATGAAACGAAATTTTAAAAAGTAACATAAAATATAATCGCTACCTACCAAAGTTATTTGAGCTCGTCGGTTGTCAAGGCAATTTAAAAGGAAAATTATTCATAAAATTTCCCGTTGATGGAATTATTATAGTACTGTTGAAGTATTTTCTATATTTTTGTACATAAGCTGTTGCTAATTGAGGTCGCTATGAAACAGACGCTACCGTGGAAATGGTTTTTGTGTGAGCGTTTTTAATAAGTCTTATTTATACATTTTCTTAACCATTTTATGCGTGAGAGTTTGGCACAAAGAATTCCTAAAAAATACGTTCTAAATTCAAATATTTCTGTTAAATGACTACTACTAAGAAAATTTCAAACAGGCTTTTGGTGTATTTTTTTTAATTTGTTATATCAACGACAGGCATTTCTATGCTTAAATGGCAGCTCCTTGACATGAAAGGTGATTTTTAGTTTGTTGATATTTTAGCTTTTTAAAAATAAGTTTATTATTCCATTTTAAGCAATAAGTTTTAAATAATTGTGTACGCAAATTGTGCAAATTTTATTATAATTAGTAGTATTATGTGAAACATTGTACCTATGTGCAAAATCGGCATCAAGTAAACTTTGCGACGTAAATAAAAATATTAAAATTAGAATACACAGTACTAATGTTACATATTATCATTTATGAATAATTTTCCTGTTGAAGGGACTGTACTGTATAAGCATAGTTGAATCTGTGGTAACTCTTAAAAAGTAAGCAAACAGTTGACACAACATTATTTTTTAAAAAAAACGTAAGTTGCAATATTATATAAAAAATTGAATTTTAAATTTCGAAGCGTTTATTGGTACAAGCTAAGTGTTAATTCCATTAAAATCCGCACGACCGTCCGAGTTTCGTAATTTTATGAGCAGTAAACTTTAAAATAAAACAAAACTCATTTGTTGGCACTGTCTGTTTTATGGAGGAAAAATGGCCGAAGTATTACAAACGTATATTTGGAAAGGAAAATTTTAGGATCGGATTCTAAAGTACCCACGGAGTTACGAGTTGTTACAAAATTAATTTGTGAAAGACTTAAGTATGAATGTGGAGGTACTGGAGTATTCTATTTTGGAACATGAGGTAAAAATTTAAAAATTGTTCTACTTAAATAAGGTTTGTTATATGTTTGTCTTTCAACTAATTCCATTTAACATTTTTGTTCATTCGTAATATGTAGTTTTTTAAATTTAGGGCGGCTTGCGCATCGTCGTTAAATACAGTTTAAGAGCGACGTAAACGCATTTAGTCTGCTAATTATATTTAGCGTCTTGCACAACAAAAATTTAGGCACTAATCACGTTTAACGAACTGTCAAAGTTAAATACCCAAAGATGGCTATTTAGCGTCGCTAAATACGTTTAGTAGCAATCGCGCGTCATCATTTAAAGGTTAAAGAAATTTTAATATTATTTTAAGGTTTTAAAGAGTTCTGTAGGAAGTTTGTAAGATTGTTTTGTGGGAATTGTATTCTGACGACGATGAGGAGATTATAGAATATATCAACAATAGCACGAGACGCTTCACAAATCACAACAAAACTTTGAGTGACTTGACAGCTCGGTTGACTTGATGTGACAGTTGAAAGCTCGTCGGTCCATTTCACGAATTTTTTTTTTAAGAAATGCATCCATTTTGCTCTAATTCAAGTGTACAACGCACGAAAACGTAAAAAGGAACGCAAGTAACTGCTTTACCGACTCCCTAACTACGATTAGTTAAATTACTATCCAAACGGACGTGAGCAAGACCTTTTTAATTGTATTTAGTCTAAACATGTTTAGCAAGATAAACGCATTTAACTAAATTCTGTTTAGACCACATGTTGCGCAAGCCGCCCTTAGAATTAAGTTCTCAACACAGATTAGAAGAAAATAATGACTGATGATGAAAACGATAAGAACTAGTCAGAAAGAAAATGTAATGATAGCTGCTAGCACTCACTTAAATTTATTTAGCCTCTATTAAGTCTAGACATTTTTTGAGGGGATAAAGTCATCAAGTTTCTGCTCCCGCTCTGGGTGTGGCAAGAGGGAATGGCTGAACACTACTCCGTTCTTTCTTCTGGTCGTGGTCGTGCTTCATTATTGCGCTTGCACTCGCAACCACGGTTGTCGTTGTAGTAGTATTTAGTCCAGATACACACATACGTCTATTTCATTTTATTTATTTAAATGTGGAATCATCATCAGCCTATAAGTGCCCACTGCTGAGCAAAGGCCTCTTCTCACACGGAGAAGGTTTGAGCATTAATCACCACGCTTGCTCAATGCGGGTTGGCGATTTCAAACTTACAATTAGAAATTATAAGTCCAGGTTTCCTCACGATGTTTACCTTCACCGTATGTCAGTGGTGTCTAAATAATCATAGAAAGTACATATAACTCGGAAAAAGTCACATTGGTACTTGCCAGGTTTCGAACCCACACCCTCATGCATGAGAAGCGGGCTCCTTAACCTCCAGGCCTCCACGACAACAAATGTGGAATACTGGCAGCTAATCAAAACAAACGACGAAAAAAGCATGTTATATACGGCCGAATTGAGAAACCTGCCTTTTGGAAGTCGGTTAAAAATACTATTAAAAACGTGGCCTGTTTAATATATGTAGTTGTGTATGGTAATAAAATGTTTACTTACTAGTTTCTCCAGGTCGATAATGGTGTCGAGCGGGCCGCACGATCACATCTCTCACCGGACCAAGCAAGCGGATCACACTGTGACTCTTCGCAGTACATTCGTCGTTCCCAACACATCCGACCGTGGTGTGCAGCGTGCAATGAGTGGCTGGCGACGATGGAATCTTCAGCGGAATGATGCCATAACCTGCGAAAGAAAATCTAAAGTTAATATATGTACTGTAACTTAGGTTGTTTCGTCGTGAGAGTGAGGGTACTGAAAGCCCAATAGTCCCTCATATCCTCTATCTTTCAATCCCTTATAACCCACAATAAGCAACGCACTTGTAGTAACTCCCTTGGAATTGCAAGAGTCCATCGGCGACGCTGATAACTTTCCATCAGGTAATCCGTATGCTCGTTGGCCTATGTTTTATAAAATGAATAGTCGTAATTAAAACCTACGAATCTCTTAAGGTATAATTATTGAACCTAAGTTTTGGTAGCCAAACATTAAATATTTGAATAAAGTGCAAAAAATTATTAAGTACCTATTTAATATTCCGTTCGATCCGATACCAAGTTTCACTTAAATCGGTATAGTAGTTTTTGTGATTTTGAATTTCAAAGTAAATATTTCTAAAGAGATAACACAACATGGCTTGCTATTTAGCTACAAAAACATAGAGTATCTATTTGTTTGAAAAAATGTTAGTTAATTTACGTCAAATTGAATTCAAATCCTGCAGTCCACACACATTGTTTACGTTCACAAATTATATAATATGTATCATATAATAAATTCAAGTCCAAACTACATCATTTAAGATTTATGCACGCCGTTAATCTCGAAACAACTGCATCAGAACATTTCGCTTCGCAATTCAGAAGACAAACAACCCATCCGACAATACGAGGCACCAGTATGAAAATACATTAAAAAATTTAAAATGAAAACATTAACAAAAAGTATTTCCACTAGGTAAGTCATTTGTTCAGTTGGAACTGTTAAGTTTATACACCGTACGATATGGAATTTTCTTAAATCAAATTTTGACGATTTTATGCTTGTATGGAAACCTTCAAATGACTTTTCCCATCTCTCAAATAACCTTTTATAACGATAGAATTCTTCTGAACGAAACAGGATTAAAACAACCGATTTCTAAAGCTGCGTACCTTTACCATAGCTAGCAGAGAATAGGCTTTTGGCTTAGAAAACACAAAATAGATGATGTCTAAACAAAACTAAAAACAAAAAAAAACATATTTACGATAACATCACTGTGTCAGACAGTCGTGTGAGTGACGTCACACATTTATAAAACTTTCTGCCTCGTTGTGCAGTAATGTGTTTGACACGAGTGATCAACTTTTTGTTATGTTGTATTCTGACAGTGCTATTAGTAACAGTCTTGTGCAGTTGTATGCTTCGCTGTTTGTCTTTGAATTATAGTTGGGGGAAAGGGTAAGACGATACTATACATTATTACAGATAAGTATATATATCTAGATATATGTAGAACTACATTAGTAAATATTATCTTATAGAAGTTATAAGTTGCAGTATACATAATTGCGTACAAGAAATTTTAATAGAAAATAATGAAGACTTTTTTAAACAACAAAGATACATAAAATATGAATATGATAAAGCTGAATGTGAGTTAACGTTTCCTATTAAAATAAAACTCAAAACAATGAAAACAACGTCTGCAGAGAAACACCTCGTTTCATAGCATGGAGCAAAGATTGCACTCCTTCTAAAATCTCCTCAGAAACCAGGCAATATCTGTCTCAAATACACAATAATAAATAGCACTTGCACTTCATATAAAGCCGGTTCGATTTATAAAAGCTTTTGGAGCATCTCCAAATGGAAGGTTCTCGAAGAAATTCTCAGTTCTTTCGCTTGCCGAACACTTAAATGAACCGGCACTATTAAAAGGTAGAAGTTATTATATCGGGTAAGTCCAAGGAGAAAAATACTCCCGGTCCCCTTTTGAAACAGTTTTCTAAAGAATTTTTCTACTTCACTTTCAATTGGTTTTTAGTTATGATTTTGTTTTTTTCTGGTTTTGACGTCTGGTTGGGTATTTTTTTCTTGTGGTTCGTCTTTTATGCTTGTGTTTTTAAGTTTCTGTTTTGATGTCAGCGATGGTAGCTTTTTAGTACTCTTCAGTTTTGCCAACTTTCAGTAAGTTAAACGTTAGTATTCTATATAATCATTTTCTTTTCGACGACATAAAAAGGAATAATTTTATTTGTAATTTATTTTATGCGTGACGTGCAATTATTGATCACGTCACACAAAAAAGGTATTAAGACCAAATATATCATCTACTTAGAGCGATTTTGAGCAAACTAGAAAGTAGAATAGATATTGATCTACAGCATCAAAATTTAAATGCTTCTAATGACAAGCACACAAATTACATTGACTCAAAAAATATAAAAAAACAATACTTACAATTTTTTATCATTAAAATTCTCAATGACATCAATAAAAATCTACCAACCATTCAAATTGAACACATTCATCAGTCAGTTGATATTTTAATTACTGGTACGGTGTTCGGACTAGTTTCCAGCGCGAATACCAATCATCGTTAGGACGCAGTTATATATCACTATGTAAGGGAAATACTGGTACTGGTAAATGTTGGTCGACGCTTGGAAATATGGAGTCGTATCATAGTCTAATTCTGCATAGGGCTAGACAGGTATGTTTGGTATAAGCAAATTTCTTATGTGCAAAGATGGAAGCGAAAATCTAGAAGAGAATGCCTTCATTGATAGATATTAAGACGTGATTTGAGTGTACGTGACGGGCAACGGGCTTTTGGTAGTTGCTCACCGTGATTTCTTTTTTGACAAAATAGGTAACTCTTTGTGACTTTGTAAAGACATACAAATAGTAATAATACAAATATAAACACGGTACATACAAGGTTATTACACAATTAAGTTTGACCAACATGTTACGCAGTCATAGCGGCATGTAAATTATTTAAAATTGTTTTCTTATGAACAAACATAATTATAACATGTTATCTACAAGCTCTTGTTTCAAAACCCAAGTGATCAGCCGAAGTTGCAAAGCTCAATAATATAAAGAAGAAACAGGGTTATTTTAAAGTCAGTAAGAATATGACACTACCACTTGCCTTATCCTGGGCGAGAGAAGTAATAATGATTTTAGCCAAAATATAAAATATAAGAACATCAATTAAATCTAAATAATATTATGCCTATATACAAAAATAACTTCTGCGAATCAAACGATATTAAACACTAATGAAAGTGGTAACACGTTCTAGGTACGAATAGTTATAAAAGTTTCGTTTTCATTTTCTTTCTGTACCTAGAACTCGTTGAAAATTCTGCGAATCTCATTTGTTTGATATGACTAGCGCAATAACTAGAACTTGTTTAATATGTATAATGTGACATACGTACTTGGTAACAGATTTTCCTAGGTAGTATTTTCAATGACTTTTGTTTTTTTTATGTCGGGTCGGCAAACGAGCGGATAGTTTACCTGGTGGTAAGCAATCAGCATCCATGGATACTCGTAATATCAAAGGAGTTACTACTACTAAGTGCGTTACCGGCCTCTTGTGGGTTATTAGGGATTTGAGGATTGAGAATGGAGGTGAGAAGGATGGAACGCCCTATAACATCAATCATAATTATGGTGAAACAAAATGCAGGTTATTTGTGAGGCCGTGGTATCACTACAGTCGAGCCGGCCCATTGGTGCCGGCCCATTGTTGCCGAACCATGGCTCTCTCACACTAAATAAATGTATTAGGTTGACTACAATTATTGTCAGTCCGATAAATGTCCAGAATTTTACAGAAATTATTACAGTTCATCATCATCATCAGCAATTAAGCAATTAAGTGGAAATATGTTTAAAATAAATTTAAAGAAGTTTTTGATTGAAAATGTTTTTTATATCTTGAATGATTATTTTACTAAAAAGTAGAATTCAGAAATGTCATGTATTTTTTTTCATTCCAATATAATATTGCATGTCCGACTTGGATAGACTATTGAGTCAAAACATTGTATTTTAATATCATTATGTACACAGTTATGCAATAAATTAATCTTATCTTATCTTATCTATAAGTCCTCACTGCTGAGCAAAATCCTCTTCTCATGCGGAGAAGGTTTTGAGCATTAATCACCACGCTTGCTCAATGCGGGTTGGCGATTTCAATATTTTTATGTATTATTATTACAGTTGTTTTTATATAAATCTGATTTTGACTTCAACGATCACTATACTCTTTCATTTATTTTGTTTAATAAATTATCACATTTGTAACTCTGTACAAAATGAATTTTGTCCAATAACTCTTGTATTTCTTTATTATATTTAAATATTAAGTCCAGTTAGATTGTGTTGTTCACTGTACGCATGTTGGTAAGATATTCGCATCACCAACACTTTTATGACCTACGTGTCAGGTACGTCGCTTTCAGGAGTTTACGTGACGGGAATTAATTACAAAACTAAGGGTTGCTTCTTTGCTTTATAGGATAGACAGAGTATCATCATGCTTGAAATTTTCTATTCGAAAGCATATTTAGAGGAGTTGAATAATGACACTCCTACTCGCCTCATTCAGAACGAGAAGCCATTTGATGATTAATTCCATAAAAAAGGGATAACTGAATATCATATTCCTATTTAGAGTATTTTAAAATTTGTATTTTTAAAGTCAAATACACTTTCCTATGTCCTATGGCGTGAAAAACCAAGGCAGAAACCAGGCAGCAAAACTGATAAACATGTACTGTACATTTCTATCGAGCAATCTAAAAGATATATTAATTTGCAACTTTTTGTTTATCTTATAAGCGATCAAACCTTGACAAGAATTGGAAGCAACTCTTTAAAAATCATACCTACTACTACTATCATTACCTTATAGCTAAACCAATCTCATTCTCATTACCACAAAGAAATTCCTTCTCTATAATTGCACCGCAACCTTATCAACGCTTAACAAAACTCCGAGTGCTAAGAAACTCAAGTATTCAATTCGGGACACACCATGTTTCCAATAATAGCTTTTCGAAAAGAACTTAGTGAGAATGAGACCGTGCAACTTCGTTCGTGTGTCGTGAAGAAATTGTGGCCATTGGCGTTCCAACTTTTCTCCCATTGACTCGGAAGCTGTTACTGCAAAGTTG